TTCAATGATCTTTGGCACCCTTGTTGAAAACCATCTGACTATATATGGTAGGGTTTATTTCTGGGCTTTCTACTCTGTTACATTGGTCTTTATGTCTGTTTTCATGCCGGTTACCTCACTGCTTTGATTGCCATAGGTTTGCAGTAAGTTTTGCAATCAGGAAGTGTGAGAATTTCAACTTTGTTCTTCTCTTTCAGGATTGGTTTGGCTATTTGGTGTCCCTTGAGAATTCCATATGAATTTTAGGATACATTTTTCTATTCCTTCAGAAACCCTCTTTGATATTTGCATTGAATCTGTGGATCACTTTGTGTAGTATTGACGTCTTAACAATATTAAGTCTTCCAATCCCTGAACAAGGGATGTCTTTTGCATTTATTGGTACCTTCTTTAATTTTAAAATTAATTTTTTTCTAGTTTTCAGTGTATAAATCTTTAACCTCTTTTGTTAAGTCTATTATTTTATTCTTTTTTGATGCTATTATAAATGGAATTGTTTTCTTAATTTCTTTTTTTGTTTGTTTTTCCAAATCACGTGCATTGCACTGTTTATTGAATTAGGTCGTCATAAGGGAGTTGACTTGGATCATTTTTTTGTTAATTTCAGGATATTATGAGGGTACAAACATTTTGGTTACATTTTATGTCTTTGTCTCTCCCAAGCGAGGATTAGAGGCATGCCCCTCCCCTCTACAGTGCTCACCGTGTCTGTTAGTTGTGAGTTTACCCCCCCCAACCCCCCAATCCCTGGAGAATATTACTACCTTGTGAGCACCATAGTATTGATCAGTCAGTGCCAATTTGGTGACGAGTACATGTGGAGCCTAGTTATTTCGATCTTGTGACACCTCACTTCAGATAATGGGCTCAAGCTCTATCCAGGAAAATGTAAGAGGTGCTAGATCACTGTCATTTCTTATTATTGAGTAGCGTTCCATTGTATATATAATACACCAGTTTTAATAATCCATTCATGAATGGATGGGCACTTGGGTTGTTTCCACATCCTTGCAATAGTGAATTGTGGTTCCTTAATTTCTTTTTTGGACTGTGCATTGTTGTAGAAATGCAGCTGATCTTTGTGTTGATTTTATATCCTGCAACTTTGCTGAATTTATAAGCTCTAGTTGGCCTCATTTTGAAATCAAATTAGTTGCCAATATTTAAATCTTAAAGTCACATAAAAATCTGGACTTCCTTTTTGTCATACAATATTGGAAGTTGTGGCCCCCTGGGCCGGCATTCCCTCTTGGCACCCGCTGCCTGGAGTGAGTGGCCCCCTGGGCCGGCATTCCCTCTTGGCACCCGCTGCCTGGAGTGAGTGGCAGCTCTGTGGTTCGGTTGCGCAGCCCGGTCCCACCCCCTCCTGCCCCCACCCCGCTTGCCACCCTCCCCTGCAGACCCTGCTCTGCCCGGTCCCACCCCTCCTGCCCCCACCCCGCTTGCCACCCTCCCCCGCAGACCCTGCTCTGCCCGGCCCCTCGCAGTCAGCGTTCCTCCTACCGAATGGCTACTATGTGTCAGGCGCTGTTCCAGGTGCTGGGACACAGCTCTGAACACAACAGGCAACAGTTCCTGCCTTCACAAGCCTTTCGTTCTAGCAGCGTGCTGGGTCCCGTTCCAAGCACGTCACATACAGCCTCTCTTTTAATCCTCGGGACAACCTCCATGAGGTAGCCTCGTTATACAGACGAGGAAACCGAGAGGCACAGAGAGGTTAAGAGACTTGTCCAAGGTTACCCAGCAGGTAAGGCAATGTCTGGATTAGAACCCAGGCAGTCTGGCTTGAGAATGTGAATTGTCAGCTGCCCATCCTGCCCCTCCGTGGCAGGAGGACCTGGATGTGAAGGCTTGGCAGTGGAGGCAGGGTGGTGCGGACGGGGCCAGACAGGCCTGGTCGGTGGTCGTAGAGCCAGCATCAAACCGTTAGGACGTCCCAGAGTGTGGCCTCCGGGCTGCGTTTCCTGGAGGCCTCTGGATCCCAGGCGCTCCGGCCTTCCCAGCTTCCGCCCTGCCATTGAGAGGGTCCTGCTGTCCTCAGAAGGCAGGTGGCGGTGGCTGGCTGGGCGGGCGTGGGAGGTGATTGGCAGGTTGTCCGTTGCTGGCATGGGGAGGTGATTGGCAGGTCGTCTGTGTTGTCAGGGCCGGAAGCAGACAGCCAGGGAAGGCGGACCTGCGCGGCCACTGGGCTGCCCTGCCCGCTGCGTGAGCGCCGGTCAGCCGGTCAGGTCGCGGGCAGCCCTGCTCCCTCTTCCCCGAGCAGGGCAGGGCTGGCCTCTGGCTGCCGGGGAGCCTCAGCCCGGCCCCGTCCCAGCGGCCCGGCTCGAGTCCTACTTTCTCCCTTGGCCTGGCTCTTCTGCTCAGGACTGTGCACACTGCCCCTCGGTGGGCACTTCAAGTATTTATCGAGCACCTACTGTGTGCCGACCCCGTGCTGGCACTCGCTCGGACCTCCGCGCTTGGGGAGCGTGTGAAGGCCCAGCCCTCTGGTCCTGCCGGCTCCGCTCTCTGTTCCTGGCCCCGTCTCCTCACTTTCGCCGCGTGCCTCTGTTTCCCTCTAACTTCTTGTCTGGTTCCCAGTCTCTCCTCTGCCCACTCTGCCTTCAAGTCCAGGGAAAACCGGTGTCTTCCCCACAAGCCCTCCCAGCGCAGCCCCTGGCCCCAGAGGGGCTGGCCCGCCAGGGCGCGGTCAACACTCGCCTGCTCGGTGGTGGCACCTTGGCCAGGGCTCCCTGGCGCCATGCCGCCTCTCGGCCACACCCCGCCTTGCCGCCTGCTGCTGCAAACAGCCACCGTCCGATGCTTCTGGCCAAAGGGGTCTTTGCCAGCCCTTCCTCAACCCCCTCCCGCCCCCACGCCCCTTTCCCCGGAGATTCCAGACGGAGCCCGGGAGCACCCGCTCCCATTGTGACGCGGGAAGGGAGCAGGGGCCTGGGCTGCGGGCGGTGGCGGGTGGGCGCCCCGACCCCCCAGCAGACACTGGCAAACCCACTCTTCCTGGTCGGGATCCGGGCGCCTGGCTGCCGCGGGCGGCGCTGGAGACGTGGAGGTCAGCAGGCCAGCCGAGGTCAGCAGCCCAGCCCTGCGCAGGCCGTGGCCGGTCTGGGGGGCGGGGCGGGGCGGGGTGGGGGCCCAGCCTCTTGGAGAGGAATAGGCCCCCGAATTTCAGTGTGGGGGGAGTGCAAGAGGAATAAACATTCTTCACGCCTTAAGATTACTGAAAAATGCAAGGAGTCTGTCACGTATAATTCTACAGCACGGAGGCAAAGGTGCATTGCACACTCAGTTTTTTCCCCGGATTTTAATTTGACTTGCTGTGTTGATGAGCCTTCCCCCGTGTCATTCTGACTCCATAAGCGTGATCGTAAGGACCGCGCACACTGCTCCGCGGCTAGCGGTGGGTTCAGGGTGTCGTGGACCGTGGGCCTGAGGAAGGAAGGGCCGCCTTGTGCGGCCAGAGGAGTGGCGCGGTCCCCACCCCGGCCGCTCGGCCACAGAACGGGCTGTTGCTAGTGGGCAGAGGGGTGGCTCGAGCTTTGCCTCCCTGCTTGGCCTGTGGCCCAGCAGCTGCTAGGAAGGAAGTGCTGGCCCGCCCAGTGACAGAGGTGACCTCCTGCGGCCCAGCCTTTAGGTCACCTGCTTGTCCGCCAGGAGGCCTTGGGCAGCCTGGTCGGGCCTCCCAGCCCCTCAGCCGGGTCTCGCATCTTGGAATGCCCCTCCCCACCTGGAGGGAGCAAGGCTGGCGTCTCTGGCCTTTTCCCCAGAGCTGGGGTGGACCCTGGCCACTTCTGCCCCGCCTGCTCGGGGGAGCCGGGGCCGGGTTCAGCCGCGCTCTCCAGCCCCGGGAGGCAGGGACCTTCGGGGCTGAGTGCTGCCCACAGACTGCTGTTCGATGACAGCTCAGCCGCACGAAGCAGGGAGATCTTACACACACACCCCTCAACAGTCCAAACGTCCGGCCTCTCTTGGAAGATGAGAAGTTTGGTGGCGCTGTGCATGCATCCTGCCTGGCTGTGGTCTCGGGGCATGTCCTGGCTGCCTCCTTAGGTGACCCTTGGGTGTCCAGCCCTGCGCAGCCCCTCACCAGCCTTACCTGGCTGTCCCCCGTAGGCAGTGGACGCTGTCGCCTAGTAATTAGTTGTTGTTAGTTGTTGTAGTTAGTAATTAGTTGCTGGCTTTCGCGGCCAGCTTGTGGAAACCTCTCGTGCCAGCAGAGAGCAAGTCTGACTCTCGCTGCAGCTTCTCCAAGTGAGGTGTGGTCGTCACAGAACATTCTGCAAGAGAAACCCCAAAGGAGCTCTGATGGACGCTAGTGACAAAGTCTTTGTTTGGGTTATTTCCTGGCGAGAGGCTCCTGGAGGCTGGCTGATGGGGCCTCTGGGGAGACGGGCGCCGGAGGGCGCTCCAGGGAAGGGCGGCCTTCCCGGGATCTGCCCTCTTGGGCTGCTCCGTGGTGGTTTGCCCCTCTGCCAGGGTCCTGATGGGCCAGGTCACCGTCGCTCCCTGATGGGGCGTACACCCCCTTCTCTCTGATAGCCTGGCGGGCAGATTGGGAGCCAGGGCGGACACAGGTCCCAAATGTGTCCTGGCTGCTGGCGGGCCCGTCTCCACGGGCGACTTGCTGGAAACCACTCAAAGTGGAAAATTCTGGAGGCTGGGCAAGAATAGGTCTGGGGTTTGTAGGAGTGTATACAGTTTGGGGGCCCTTTTAAAGAAAGAGGATGGGAAGTCAGGTATACAAAGGGAGCCCGTGCCAGTGGGGGCTCCCCAGGGTGGCGCCAGCCTTACCTGGCTGCACCCGCTCTCCAGACCCGGCCCTGCGGGGGCAGAGGGTGCCACGGGCTATCAGGCCCAGGCCCAGGCCTCGTCTCCGGGAGTCCCAGGTGTGACATGGTGTTGACCACAGGGAGGCCATAGGGCCCACGGCAAGCCACGGTCACCGCAGGTGCCGGGTGGGCGGGGGGCGGACCCGGCTCACGGGGCCCTGCTTTGTGCGGCAGGTGGAGAACCTGAAGGAGAAGCTGCTGAGCCAGGCCCAGGAAGTGAGCCGACTCCGGGCGGAGCTGGTGAGTGCGCAGGCCGGGTCGGGTGGGGCGGGTCGGGTGGGGCGGGGCGGCCCAGCCTGCGCAGGGTGCGACCCTCTCTCCCAGCCCGCACGTCCCCGTCCCCATCCCCGTATCTCAGAAACGCCACCCAGTGTTACCACCACCCAGCCACTCCGAGGGGAGGGAGGTGAATTCTCGTTTGCTGACGTAAAACGGGAGTGTGAACCTTGTTATAAATGTGACTTCTTGTTACTTTCACACTCGGGAAAATAGCGCGCGGGCGGGGGCGGCGGGAGCGGCCCTGCTTTGCCCTCTCCTCTCTGCCCTGCACCGTCTCCTCTGCTGCCGCTTGGGCACTGTCCCTTTTGTTCGCCTTTTTCTTTCTCTCCCTCCCTCTGCCTTCTCTTTGCCTCTCCTCCTCTCTCCCCTGCCCTGCGCCCTCTCACCTGCCGGGCCACATGCGGCCGCTCAGCCCTGGCTCTCCGCAGGGGGGCACCGACCTGGAGAAGCACCGGGACCTGCTGATGGTGGAGAATGAGCGGCTGAGGCAGGAGATGCGGCGCTGCGAGGCGGAGCTGCAGGACCTGCGGGCCACGCCGGCCGCCCCCTGCCCGGGCTGCGAGCACAGCCAGGTGAGCCCGTGGCCCCGGCCCCCTCCCTGCGCCTGGAGGGCTCGGCCCTGCCGGTGACCCCAGCCCCTGACGGTGACCTCAAGTGAAATGGTGACCCCATCCCCAGCTCCTAATGGTGACCCCAGGCCCTAATGGTGACTCTGCCTCCTGCTTGTCCCGCACCTCCCGGCCGCCCGTAGGAGAGTGCCCAGCTCCGGGACAAGCTGTCACAGCTGCAGCTGGAGGTGGCGGAGAACAAAGGCATGCTGTCCGAGCTGAACCTGGAGGTGCAGCAGAAGACCGACCGGCTGGCCGAGGTGGAGCTGCGGCTCAAGGACTGCCTGGCCGAGAAGGCGCAGGAGGAGGAGCGGCTCAGCCGGCGCCTGCGCGACAGCCACGAGACCATCGCCAGCCTGCGGGCCCAGTCCCCGCCTGTCAAGGTGAGGGGCTCGCCCCAGTGAGGAGGGGGGTGCGGGTGGTTGCAGCGATCGCTCCACTTCCGTGCTTGGTCTTGCCGCTTCCGCTTCCCGCGGTCCAGGGCCAGGCACGGAGTAGGTCTCCTGCAGCCAGCGTGCCCACCGCGTGCAGGCGCGTGCAGTGCAGCCCTGCGTTCTGCCTCGTCTTGGCCCTTCTGGTCTGTTCTGTACCCAGGCTGGGGCCACAGCCAGGCTCGTAGCAGGCTCTCATTAAGATGAGAAGATTCCAGGAGGGCTACAGCTTTTTGCAAAGCCCGGACCTTAGGGCTCCTCCAGTTTTTCCTCCCCCAGAAAAAACCGTCTCGGGCGCTGGGGTGAGGTGAAGGTGCCCACGTGCCTCCATGTGCCCTTCCCTCCCTCGCCTTGCAGTATGTCATCAAGACGATAGAGGTGGAGTCGCCCAAGACCAAGCAGGCCCTCAGCGAGTCGCAGGCCCGGAACCAGCACCTGCAGGAGCAGGTGGCCATGCAGAGGCAGGTGCTGAAGGAGATGGAGCAGCAGCTGCAGAGCTCGCACCAGCTGACCATGCAGCTCCGGGCGCAGGTGTGCAGGCGGCCTGCGGTGCATGTGGGCCGGGGGTCCTTTGGGGGACGTTGCAGCAGTTAAGCATTTGGGACCCAACACTCCTGGGGTGCAGTCCCTCCTCACCCCAATGGCCCTGTGACCAGGGGCGAGTTTCGTCTGGGTCTCCCTTTCCTCATATGTCACGTGATCTGGTGGCAGAACCCACTTCATGCTGGGGACTCAAGAACGTGATCCCAAAAGGCTGTTCGCCCGGGGCCCAGCACACAGACTGTGCTCAGTAGGCTCGACTGCTGCTCCTGTCACTGTCACACACACACACACGCACGCGCCTCCTCTCCTGGGGCCCGTGGCGTGTGCCTGGGGCTGTTTTGGTGCCGGGGCTGGTGCGGGGAGGTAGTCGCTGCGCGGCGCTCACGGCCCTGTGTGGGGGGAGAGAGGCCATTCCAGCCCTTTACTCGGCACGTGCACGTGAGGTCAGTGGTGGCCGGGCTGCTTTCCCGCTGTGGTCCCGTCCCTCTCCCTCCCGTGCCCCACGGCACTGAGCCGTGTCCTGGCCCGGCCACCAGATCGCCATGTACGAGTCGGAGCTGGAGCGGGCACACGGGCAGATGCTGGAGGAGATGCAGTCCCTGGAGGAGGATAAGAACCGCGCCATCGAGGAGGCCTTCGCCAGAGCCCAGGTGGAGATGAAGGCCGTGCACGAGAACCTGGCAGGTGAGCCCGCGGGCTGGGCGCTCCCGCCCCACACCACCGCCCCTCCGTCCCCTCTGCCTCACGCCCCTCGTGCCCCCCGCAGGCGTCCGCACCAACCTGCTGACGCTGCAGCCCGCGCTGCGGACGCTCACCAACGACTACAACGGGCTCAAGCGGCAGGTGCGCAGCTTCCCGCTGCTGCTGCAGGAGGCCCTCAGGGGCGTCAAGGCCGAGGTGAGCCGGCGCGGGCCAGCGGCTGGGTGTGGGGTGTCGCACCAGGAAGAAGCCTGGAACCCCTGGCAGACAGTGTCCACCGGGGCCCCTTCCCAGACCCAGACAGAGCCCCCAGGCAGCACGCGCCCGCACACCTGCCCCTGCGCGGCAGCAGGCTGGCCCGGCGGGTGTCGTGCTGTGTGAGTCTTAGGCAGACCTGTCACTTGCATCTCAAACACAGATCTGTTAGGTCTAACTTAATCTTTTAACGCTGTGCTGGTACAGTATGAGCATAGCCAGCATCTCCTAAGTGCCTCCCACGTGTTGAGCCTTTTATAGCCGTTGGCGCCTTGAATTTGTGTGACAGCTCCGCAGAGACTAATGTATTTTGGGGATAGAAAATACTTCTCCTACTTTAAGGAAAGTACGTCAGCGACACATGGACAAGGTGAAAAGCCCGACCCTGCGCAGGGCATCGGGTGGAGGGGAAAGGTCCCTCCGCCACCCCGGCCCACGTCCCGCTCCCCCAAGGTGGCCTGTCCCAGCACTGCCTGCCCCGGGGCGTCCTGAGCGTGAGTAGGGCTGTTGACGTATGTGTAGGAGTGCACGGGAGGCCCTCTGTATCCACGGATTTCACATCTGCAGATTCAACCAACCACAAATTAAAAATATTTGAAAAAATAACAATGCAACAGTAAAAAAAAAAAAAAATAGAAAAGAACCAATATAGTGTAGCTGCCATTTACGTGGCATTTTGATTGTATTAGGTGTAATAATCATTAGGGAGGACATAAAGTATACAGAGGCAGGTGCGGTGGCGCCTGCCTGTGGTCCCAGCAACTCGGGAGGCTGAGGCAGGAGGATCCCTTGAGCCCAGGAGTTCAAGGCTGCAGTGAGCTGTAATCCCACACGGCGCTCCAGCCTGGGCAACAGAGGGAGACCCCACCTCTAAAAGTAAATAAACAAATGAAGAAAACAAAGCCCGGCAAAAGGTAAGGGCAAAAACCAACCCAATTTAAGGCAAGGGGTCCAACAACCCCCCAACCGGGCAACCGCCGGGGGCCCGGGAACAAACCCGCCCAAAAAACAAGGGAAAAGCCAACGGAAAAAACGCCCCTTCAACCCAACAAAACCGAAGGGAAAGTTCAAAACCGGCCTTTTTCCCCCCCATGAAATGTAACTGGGAGATCTTTTCCCACTATCTCTTTACACATTCATGAGTTAGATGGTGTTATCCCCGTTTTGCAGATGAGAAAATCGAGCCAGTGGTCTCGGGTCCCCCCGGCCACTCAGGAATAGAGCTGGAATTTGAGTCTAGCCGGCTCATGTTGGGGTCAAGTGCTAGTGCTGTGGAACGAAGGCTGCGTCCTGGCTCTTGGCTCATTGGCAGCCTGAGCTATGCTGCGCTTAACCTCTCTGGGGCTCAGTTTCTTCATCTGTAAAATGGGGGTGGTAGCAGTACCTGCTCAGTTTGGCACAGGATGGCACGTGTCAAATGCTCGGGCGGGGGGCAGCGGGCGAGCAAGGCCGGTGGAGCCGGCCCCTGAGCGGTGTGCACCCCCCCCCTCCAGATCGGCCAGGCCATCGAGGAGGTCAACAGCAACAACCAGGAGCTGCTGCGCAAGTACCGCCGGGAGCTGCAGCTGCGCAAGAAGTGCCACAACGAGCTCGTGCGGCTCAAAGGTGGCTGCCGGGCGGGCGGGCCGGCGTGGGGGTGCTCAGCCTGGCTCAGCCGTCATCCCTGGAGCCGTGCCCTGTCACAGCCCTGTTCTAGTAGATAAGGACACGGAGGCATAGAGAAGCCAGGGAATTAGCTCGCGGCCACATGGCTGGTAAATGGTCCACCTCGGATTTGAACTTGGATCTGTCCAGCCCTGCCCCAGTGTCCGTCCATGGCCGGTTACTCCCGAGCCCCTGGGTGGCCGGGGGGTATGGTGTGGAGCACTGGGTGGCGGCTGGCTGGAATGGCACCTGTTTTGACCTGGGGCCTGGTCAAGCTTGAGACTCCGCCATTCACGGCCAAGAGGTGTGTCCTGCTCTGTGCCGGGTGCTGTTCCAGACACTGAGGCCCGACCCTGGCCCCGCAGACCGCCTCGCGGTGCTCGCCTTAGCTAGGAGAACGGGCAGCGGCTGCTGGTCACCCAGAGAGCCCTGACGCTGCCCCAGCACCAGGGCTGGGAAAGACAGGAGTGGGGGGGGCTTGCTGGAGTGGGCGGGTGAAGAGGGAAGGATGGTGGGGCCATGCCGGCTGTTGGGGGGCGTTTTCATTCCAAGAGCGCAGGGCTGGAAGTGAGGGGCTGGCATGATGAGCTTGTGCTGCCACACACCGCGGTGGCTGCTTGTTAGGACCAGAGAGCAGGTGGCTGGCACTGTGCCTGTTTGCCCACCCGATTCCCAGGCCCCGTCCTGGCGTTCACAGTGCCTTTTAGACTGACGAAACAAGTCCCTTGGCTCACTGGGGCTCCAGCCCCTCACTGCATAGATGAGAAAACTGAAGTCCAGAGAGAAAAAGTGTCCATTGTGGGGTCTCATCCAGAATGGGTACAGCGCTGAGCTCTACAGCTGGCCTGGCTGCAAGGCAAAGACTCAACTGGTCTGCTCAGGAACAAAATGTACTAAATGAATTCATACTACAGTGTGAGTGACTGATAACAGCTTTGTGGGCCACCTTCCCCTCGAGGCTTTGCATAAAAGGCAGGGGACCCCGGAGGCCGTCTGGTCTCGACCGTGCCTGGGCCTTACCCCCTCGCCCCCGACCAATCCAGGGAACATCCGGGTCATCGCTCGTGTCCGGCCAGTCACCAAAGAAGACGGGGAAGGCCCCGAGGCCGCCAACGCCGTGACCTTCGACCCCGACGACGACTCCATCGTCCACCTGCTGCACAAGGGCAAGCCTGTGTCCTTCGAGCTGGACAAGGTCTTCTCCCCGCGGGCGTCGCAGCAGGATGTGAGTGCCCTGCGGGGGACAGGGCGGGGCGGGGCAGTGCAGAGAGACGCAAGGAACCGGGGCCCTCCTGTGGAGGGGGGGAGGGGGAGCCAAGACGAGCCCCCAGAGGCCTCCCTTGGGAGGGTCCAGGCGCGGCCCGCCGCCTCGCTGCTTCTCCAGCCGGAGCGCCTCCTGTGTCCGTCCCGTGGCCTTCCTGGGACCCCCTCCCACCCAGCGCCACGCGCTTCAGCATCTGCTCGTCTCGGCTGCCGGGCAGCCTGCGGGGCCCGTGCCCTCCTGCTCCCGCGTCCTGCTCCCCCGCCTCTCTCTGTCGCCCGTCCACGGGCAGGCAGGCCTGGGCCAGAGGCGCCAGGCGCGTGCTGGCTTTGCCCTCACCTTGCTGAGCCCTCTGGGCACCAGCGCGGGCACAGCTGGAGGGGGCAGCGGGCACCGTCCCCGCTTCCCTTCAGCCTCGGCAGCCAGGCTGCCTCTGACGGCTAAGCCCGCGGCTGTGAGTCACGGGTCCTCGGCAGGGAGTCGGGGGTGGCCGGACTTGCAGCTGGCGGGGGTCCCTGGTCCTCGTGGCCCTGGAAGCCCCCACCTCTACCCTCCCCCCCCCAGGTGTTCCAGGAGGTCCAGGCCCTGATCACCTCCTGCATCGACGGCTTCAATGTCTGCATCTTCGCCTACGGCCAGACGGGCGCTGGCAAGACATACACGATGGAGGTGGGTGCCCGCGTGAAGGCCACCCCTGCTGCTACCGACGGCGCTCCCTCCTTGACCTTGGGGCTTTGCACAGCGTGGGTGTTGCCTCAGTTGCGCCTCACAGCCGCCCAGAAGCAGAGGCCGCCTTGCCCGAGGGCACCTGTGATGGTCCCAGCAGGCCGGGGGCAGGGGCGTGCATGCTGGGCAACAGACTGTCGTCAGAGGGGCCTCAGCCTGGGGCCAGTGTCCAGGATGGGCCACCACGACATCTCGCCCGTGCCTGTTCTTTGAGTGTCCTCCTGCCTTATGGCTGCCCCGTGCTGGGCTGGGGGACGCTGGGGTGAAGGAAGGCCCAGGAGAGACTGGCCACGTGACGGCTGTCGTGGGAAGCCCAGTTCTCACCTGCAGCCCGGGGCCAGGGAGGGCCTCCTCTCCCTGCTGTGGCTGGCCCCTCTGTGGAGGCAGGGGCGGATTTGACTGTGGACAGAGCGGCGGAATCTGCATGGGGGGTGTACCATTTTCCTGGCTCTTGAGGGGGTGCCGTGGATGCCCCAGGTCAGGGAGGGGCAGGTGTCCCAGTGTCTGGGTGAGAGGAGAGCGCTGGGCAGGCCCTGCTCCTCCCTCAGTGCTGGGACTGGCGACGCAGGCCAGCAGGCCAGCGGGCAGGCCGAGGGGAGGTGTGCGCAGCGCCTCCGGGGCTCCCCGCTCTGTTGTGGGGTGCCTAGAGTTGAGGTGACCACCAGGAACGTCTGTCCTCCAGGCATCTCTGCTGAGGCCTGAGGTGTCAGGCCCAGTGCCAGGCACCGGGGCACAGCTGAGACCAGAACAGAGTCCCTGCCCCCACGGAGCCTACCTGGCGGCGGGAGACGGCAGTGCATGCAAAAGCGAGTCCGTACATGCCCTGCCGGGGGTCAGGGAGGAAATAAGGCCCTGGGCGTTCGGGAGTGTGGGGGCAGCCCCCACCCCCCGGAGGCAGTGCTGGAGCAGACCCTGAGGAACGGACAGGGCAGAGCCAGCGGGCCGTCCGGAGGCTCACGTGCGGCACTGAAGGCCTGGCATGGAGGCCCCTGTGCCAGGAACGGGGGGCTGGGATTGAGGCCCAGGGCGGCACAGTCGCCCATACCTGGTTGAGGGCATTTGGGGGCAGACTGGCCTGCAGGTGGGGGTCTGGGCAGGGAGGCTCGCCTGTGAAGGGTCGCCTAGGGGGTTGGGGCTGACAGATGCCATGTGAGTGTCTGCACAGCCCACCCCGAGTCGGGGGCAGAGGCCTGGCTCACTGGTGCCTTCCTTCCTGCCCTAGGGGACCCATGAGAACCCGGGCATCAACCAGCGGGCCCTGCAGCTGCTCTTCTCTGAGGTCCAGGAGAAGGCGTCCGACTGGGAGTACACCATCACCGTCAGCGCGGCCGAGATCTACAACGAGGTCCTCAGGTGAGGGGCCCGAGGGGGCTTAGCCATGAGTCCTGACTCGGCCCGGGGGGTAGGAGGGCTTCTCTGAGCCTGCCTAGGAGGCCCAGACCCAGGCGCTCCTCCCCCCCCCGCCTGTGGGCTGTGCCAGGTGGCGGTGGCCAGAGTGGTGGCCGGGCTCTGCCCACAGGGGCTCAGTGCGTTGGGAGGCGGGAGCAGCACCATCCCCGGGACTTCTGGACGACAGTCAGGTCTCAGCTGAGTGAGGGCAGGAGCTAGAGGAGGAGAGTGGCCTTAGCCCGACAGCAAGAGGAACCTTCTAGAAGGTGTGATGGGCCGGGTGCAGTGCAAGCAGGGGCGGGAAGTGGGAGGAGGGACTGACTCCCACCTGCCCCCCAGGGACCTGCTGGGGAAGGAGCCTCAGGAGAAGCTAGAGATCCGGCTGTGCCCAGACGGCAGCGGGCAGCTGTACGTGCCGGGGCTGACGGAGTTCCAGGTGCAGAGCGTGGACGACATCAACAAGGTGTGCAGACACTCACATGGCATCTGTCAGTCCCAAACCCGGGGCTGGGGGGCGACCCTGAACCACAGAGCTGCTCAGAGCACAGAGCCTTGTCAGCCTGCGGGAAACACTCAGTGTCCTGACTGTGTGCCCTCGGGCAAGTCCCCACGCCTCTCTGAGCCTCGGTTTCCTCATGTAAAACGTCGAGAGTGACAGGGCACTCAGGGACAGGATGATCTTTTTTCTTTTTTCTTTTTTTTTTGTGACAGTCTCACTCTGTTGCCCGGGCTAGAGTGCCGTGGTGACAACTAGCTCACAGCAACCTCCAACTCCCAGGCTCAGGCGATCCTCCTGCCTCAGCCTCCAAGTAGCTGGGACTACAGGCCCGGGCCACCATGCCCGGCTAATTTTTTCTGTTTTTAGTAGAGATGGGGCCTCGTTCTTGCTCAGGCTGGTCTCGAACTCCTGAGCTCAATCGCTCTGGGGAGAGGTGATTCTGAAGACCCCATTCTAAGCCCCGTGTCTCTGCCCTCCCGCCCCCCCAGGTGTTCGAGTTCGGCCACACCAACCGCACGACGGAGTTCACCAACCTGAACGAGCACAGCTCCCGCTCGCACGCGCTGCTCATCGTGACGGTGCGCGGCGTGGACTGCAGCACCGGCCTGCGCACCACGGGTGAGCGGGGGCGACGGGCAGCCCGGCCGGGGACCCCGTGCCCACCCGCGGGCAGCCCTGATCTGCGCCGTGCCTCCCCCGCAGGGAAGCTGAACCTGGTGGACCTGGCTGGCTCGGAGCGCGTGGGCAAGTCGGGGGCGGAGGGCAGCCGCCTGCGGGAGGCGCAGCACATTAACAAGTCGCTGTCGGCCCTGGGGGACGTCATCGCCGCCCTGCGCTCCCGCCAGGCCCACGTGCCCTTTCGCAACTCCAAGCTCACCTACCTGCTGCAGGACTCACTCAGCGGCGACAGCAAGACCCTCATGGTGGTGCAGGTGAGGGCTGGGGCTGGCCAGGGTGGCAGTCAGCGTGGGGTGGGGCCGGCACCCCAACCCTGGCACCCCAGGCTGTGCGAAGGGCCCCTTCCCGAGGCAGTGACGTGCGCCCCCCACCGCCCTGGCCACACACGCCTGTGTACCTCAGTCCCTCTACACCTGTGCGTCATCTCTGCCACCTTGATCGCCCTCGGCCTGTCCCTCAGTCTTCTTGTCCAGGAAGCTTTCTCAGGTCCCTGGGCCGAGTACCTTCCGGTGGCCGTGCCACCGCTTCAGTTCCAGGGGCGTGGCGGCCGGCCGGGGCGGGCAGTGAGCTCTTGCCTCCCCCAGGTGTCCCCCGTGGAGAAGAACACCAGCGAGACGCTCTACTCCCTCAAGTTTGCGGAGCGGGTGCGCTCGGTGGAGCTGGGCCCCGGGCCGCGCCGGGCAGAGCTCGGGTCCTGGTCGAGCCAGGAGCATCTGGAGGTACGAGGACCACTCCTGGCCGCCTCCGGCTGGCGCTGCGTCCTGGGCAGGAGGGCGGGCCCATGAGGACAGCCTGGAGGGGTGGGGCGGGGGCTAGAACTTGAACCCCAACTCAGTGGCCTCTGCAGTCCACGTGTTCCTTGGCCTCAGAGGTGCCTGTCGCGGTGATCAGCTGGTTGGGGGGTTGCAGGCCTGGCTCGAGTTTGGTGCTCAGTAATAACTAGTTTACTTCTGTACGTACGTTATCTTATCTAATCCTGCTGGTAACTGTGAGGCAGGGTATCATCATGCCCAGTTTGCAGATGAGGAAACTGAGTTTAAGGAAGCACAGTGGGACAGGGTGGGGGGCAGCCAGGGCCCCTGCCCACCTGCCTGTCCCTGCTCGCAGTGGGAGCCAGCTTGCCAGACGCCGCAGCCCTCAGCACGAGCCCACTCGGCCCCCAGCTCTGGGTCCTCGAGCCGCCCTGGCTCCATCCGCAGGAAGCTGCAGCCCTCAGGTGAGCCCGGAGGGAGTGGCCGGGGTGGCTGGTGGTGGGGACCGTCCCCACAGGGTGACCACGCTGCCTTACCTGGATGGGCTTTTTCTTTTCTTTCATTTTTAAACATTTATACGATTTGTCCAGAAACCTGTTTGACAGTCTCCCCGCCCCGGGAGGTAGTCAGGGAAGACTGTGCTGTGTCCATTTTATAGATAGGCCACCTGAGGCCCCTGAAGAGGGCGTAGCGTAAGGAAGAAGCCAGCTTCCTAGCTGGGACTGCTGGCCCAAGGCCCACCCGATTCCCCGAGGGTGGCTGGCTGGGCTCATGCAGCACCCCTCAGAGCAGGCCTGGTGTCCCCTGCCCCTGGCTCCCTGGGGTGAGGGGGTGGTGGAAAGGGCAGGGCTGGCTCCATGTCCCTAATGAGGAGTGAGCTCCACCCCAGGACTAGAATCCAGGGCTCCAGGCCCCACTCATAGAAGGGCCTGGCCAGTCCTTGAGTCCAAAGGGGTAGGGAGCGGAGTCCTGGGGCCCCTGGCCTGAGGCAAGCCCACCAGTGAGACGCCTGTTGCTTTGATTTCAGCCTGACGGCTGGGGCCGCAGAGTCTCTAGGTGAGTGTGGGGCCAGCGGCCCAGGGCTGCCCGCCCGCCCGCCCGCCCGCCTTGCAGCGCCGTGCTGGGGAGTGCAGCGGCTCAGGGCTGGGGCCGTCCTGTCGCTGCCTGCTTGTCTGTGTGCTTCTGCTGGGCTCCCTCCTGCTCTCGGTGGCACCTGCTGTGGGCCACCGTCCGCAGCTAAGCAGCCAAGAGGCTGATGATCCTTGTGCTCCTGCAGGGAGGTCGAGGCCGGTGCCTGTGTGATGGACGCGCCACCTACCGGGCCGGGACCTGGTCCCCGAGGCCTTGCTGGTCTGCTCGTGCTGCAGCGCCAGGACCCCAGAAGGTGGAGGCAAGAGTGGAGGCTCCTCTTCTGCCCTGTCTCCCCTCAGAGATGAGAAACATGTTCCGAAGGAAACAGTGGCTCTCGGCTGTGGCTCTGGGTGCAGATGGCGTGGGCTGGAAGGGCAGGCCCGGGCCCTCAGCGAGAAAGCTGGGCCCTCGTGGGGAGGGCAGGAGTGTGTGGGAGGCGGGACTCTTGCCCAGGCTGGCCCGGCTCCCTTCCCCGGCCGGAAGAGCCGGGCGCCTTCCTAGGGTCGGACTCGGGAGCCTCCAGGCGGGCACAGGAGCCATGGAACTGGGGCTGGTTGGTGGCACCAAGGGCAGCCCTGCCCACCACCGTCCCCTAAGGAGGGGACCCCACAGCTGGGCATGTACATAGTGTTTCTAGGTGTACATAGGGCATGGCCCTGCCGCCGTGGCCGGGCTGTATTTATGGCTGGCAGGAGGCCCGTGGGCGGGTCCCTGGTCTGCGGGCACCGGGCTCTCCTTGCCCACTGGCCTCTTGACGGTTCCCTCCCTCTGAAATCCTATTTAAGAACTTTTGGAAGTTAGCCATTTTTACTTATTAAAATAAAAGCCTTTTACACAAGTATAGCCTGAAAGAGTTGGTCTCGTGAGCCCCTGTGGATGCGCACGGCTGGCTTGTCACCCTGCAGACCTGCCCCCTACCTCGGGTAACGTTTCTGTTGTTTACAGTCACAGTTCACTTCCAAGGTGCCTGCCTGTGCCCTCGGTAACGATGAAACTGAGGCTCAAGGGAGCATCAGAGGCTCGTCGAGACCTCGGCTGGGCTTCCAGCCCTGCTACCTGGCACACCGCCACCCTCTGCCCCAGCCAGAAGTGAGCACCACCTCCTCCCAGTGCCTAGGGGACCCTGACACCCTGTGATGGCCTTCCCCACCCTGGGGTTTTGCTGGCCTGCACCCGGCCCCGCCTTGGGGGAACCTGTGCACGGGCTCAGTGGGGTCTTCCCTCCCCGACTGGGCCTGAACCCCAGCTGCTGCCTTGGGAGCGATCTACCTTTAGGAATGACTACTGGGGCAGGGAACGCGTTCTGGCCAGCCAGCACCGGGGGCTTCAGCTGTCCTTCGGCCCTGTCCCTGGAGGCACTGGGGGACAGGGAGGGCATTGGGCTTGGGCCAGTCTGCAAGGCGGGGGTCTCCGCCAGCCTTGGAGGCCATAGGACAGCTGGGGGTATGGGCTGGTGGGGCCCAGCCCTCCCCCATTTCTCCAGCCACGGAGGATGGTTCTGCCTCCCCTTTCTGCCCAGTCAGGCTAGACGGGCCCATCCGCAGGCCCTGCACTCTGCTGCCCCCTGCTGGGCACGCAGCGCCGAGTGGCTCAGAGGGGCAGTGTCATCTCTGAAGAGACCAGGGCAGGTGCTCCTGGGCGAGCCGCGTGGCCAAAGGCTAATGGTCCCCGAAAGGAAACCAGGGCCTAGTTACAAATTTAATAAAATCCGCCTTATAAGTTACAGCAGCAGCCCCGGGGCTCAGTTTGCTGCCCCAAGAGAAGCAAGAGTTGGGCAAGGCTGGGCAGCTGTTGCCAGAGAGGAAGTTGTCTCAGAGTTCCGGGGCTGTGGAGGGGGCCAGCGCCGCTGCCTCCAGGACGGCCACGGGGCGGGAGCCGGGCAGGGGCTCATGGGCCGGTGGGCGCACAGGGAACAGGCATTGGGGTGGAGGCCAGGCGCCCCACCCCCTGGGTCCCTCAGTCCAAAGTGGCCATGAGCAGGTGCAGCTCTCGGAAGGCACTGCCGTGGCGGCCGCTCAGGCACGACTTGCTCTTGACCAGGACGCTGATGCTCTTGAGCTGCTTGTAGCAGAGCCGGCACTTGTGCAGCCTGGGGCAGAGAGGCAGGGCCTGAGGGGGCACCTGGGCCACGCCAGGGACTGGGAACCCAGGTCCGGAGCCACTGCCCCAGACACGATGTCCTTCATAAGCTGTTCCAGCAGGGCTGTAAACAGCGGGGCCCGGGCCTGTGTCCCCTTGCCTGCCATGGCGCCCCCGCTCGACTCGGGCTGGCCCCTCACCTCTCCTCCCGGCTGATGTCCACGCCCACAGAGGGCGGCGCCGCCAGGATGTCGGTGATCAGGGGCAGGAACCGCTGCAGGATCAGCTTCAGGGAGGTGCAGCCCGTCTGGACGTAGCTTCAGGGGTAGATGGAGTCACAGATGGACACACAGGCCTGTTCCCACCTTGCCCCCCCTGGACCACAGTGGGGGCAACAATACTTCACAGCCACCACACAGGGACGCCCCGCCCTTGGGATCCTTCCTGTGGTCCCCGCCTCCCACACATACCTCTCGTACTTGCTCTGCAGAAGCTTCTCGATCTGCGGCAGCACCGTGGTGCACAGGTCCAGCTTCCACAGCGAGCTGGGGAGGCCAGGACATGGCAGCGTCAGCCCTGCCCCGCCCCTGCCCGCTCTCCCGCTGCAGCCACTTACGCTTTCTGGTTGACGATGTTCAGCAGGTCCACCACCACCGACAGGTCGTTGATGGCCACGGCGGAGTCCACTGATGTCTGCGCACGCAAACACAGCCCCGTCAGGGGTGGGGGCAGCGTGGCCCCCGCGTGGCTGTGCTGGCATTGGTTGTGGGCTGTTAACAAGACTACACCTAATACGAGTGTAAGGCCAGGCCTGAAAGTAGGTGCTCAATAAACAGCAGCGTGTGATGATGAAAGATCACAGATAATCAGGGTGTGGTGACGGGCTGCCTGGCCCCCGCCTGCCTCTTCTGAGTTGAGCCCTAAGCCCAGGGGGAAGGGGGTGGGCGCTTGCCTTGATGTCACCCGTCGTCCACACAGCCCGAACCGTGTCCAGGTTCTTGTGGCGGCTGGTGAGCACCACACACATGGTGTCGTGGCCTTTGCGGATCTGTGACATGGCGTCCTCGTCCACCAGCTCCGCCTGCTGGGGGATCTTCACGGCCTGCGTGGGACGGGCACCAGGCGCTGGCTCGGGAGGCAGGCAGCAGAGCCCCGCCCGTGCCCCACGGGCCTCCACCCCGCCCCCGGCTGGGCCCCCACTCACGGGCAGGAAGTCGGAGGCCTTGAGCCCGATGGGCTCGTTCCGCGTGGCGGGGATGATGGCTGGCTCGGCCTTGGGTGCCGGTGTGGAGGTGATGACTGGAGGCCCGGGTGGGACATCGAGCTGAAGGGGTCCAAAGGGAATGAGCAGCCAGCCTGGGACCTCCTCTCTGCCTCCCAGCACGAGGGTCCCCCAACTCCAGCCCCTGAGAGCCCCACCACGCCCGCTCCAGACGTACGTTTGGCATCGGGAGCTGCACGTCCATGGCCGGGCTGGGCTTCGCGGCCTCCTTGGCTGTGGCCGCGTCTGGAGGCAGAAGGAAGAGACCGCTGGGTCAGGCTGGGGGATGGTGGGGGAAGGAGGGACAGGCTCGAGGAAACCCAGCAGCAAGATGGGGAGCAGGACGACGGTCCCCTGAGGGGAAAGCCGGGTGGAGGGGAGGGATGCCTTGTAGGACAAGGTGCTCCGCCCCTGCCCCGGTCACGAAGCAGACCTTTTCTCCCTTTCTTGAGTCCCAACCCCTCCGCTGGCGCCTTGTGGGTCTGGCCTCCCCGGCTCCTGCTCCTGCCCCAGGCCCACGCCCTTCCCACCCGAGGCCTCCCAGAGCCTCCTCTCTGTCCCCTACAACACGCGTCCCCCAGCAGACCATCTGTGTGCTTGGCGCCTACTGTTTGCCCTGCACACACGAGGTGTGGGTCCTGAGGGGAGCGCCCACCTGCTTGCTCATGCCCCATCGCCAGGGCCTGCCGCCTGTAGACAGGCGGAGGGAATAGACCGGCACGAGGGGCTGGAGGGTGTGCCACGAGGGGCCTGGGAGGAGGGCCTCACAGCAGGAGCGGGTTCCCAGCAGGCCCGGCCCTGCCCCGACTCACCGTCCTCAGGGGGTGCTGGGAAGGGCTCACTCCTCCGGGGCGGTGTCCGGCCTGCAAAGAGGGACCCTGTGTGTGAGCCCTTCTGACCGGGCCTGCCGGGGACCCAGGGCCCTGTCGGAGTGCGGGATGGGAGGTGGCTCCCAGGTACCCGGCTGCAGACCCTTGGCCCTGCCCGCTCGCCCGCAGGCCCTCCCTCCCCCCGGGGCAGGGTAGGGGCGAGCAGCAGCTGCCCGGCCTGGCCCGAGCCCAGGTTCCTGCCCCAGTCCCACAGGAGCACAGAGGGCCTGGGCCCCGTGTGGGTGACGGATGAGGCTAATGGGACCCTCGGCCTCGTGTCACAGACGGGGACACAGGGCTGAGGGGAGCGGGGAGCCAGCCTCACTGATGCTGTTCTTGGGCTGGAAGATCTCGTTGTAGTCCTCGGCGTTCTGGATCTCCGCCCGCGACTCCCGCTCGTCGCGGTCGTCCTCGCTGCTGGGGCTACGGCGCTCGCTCTCCGAGTTCTGCTTCACCCTGGGGGTGCAGGGCCGAGCGGAAAGGAAGCAGGGCCCCCGTGAGGCCCACGCTGGGCATCCTGGGGCCTCCCGTGATGGGCCTGCTCCTGTGCACCCCGTCCTCAAAGGGCCCGGCCCCCCACCTCTGAGGCTTGCTGCAGGTCGTGCTGGGCCGCTCGTAGATGCGCCGGAGCGGGGCGCTGGGGTTGGGCGGCAGCTGTGCCAGGGGCCGGCTGTCCTGCACGGGGTCCTGGGCCACCGTGCCTGTCCTGGTGACCCGCGTCAGATCCACCACGTAAGAGGAGACGTTGCTCTGGGAGAAGGCCACGCCTATCTGTGGGAAGCGGCAGAGCTGGGGCGAGGCCTGGAGGCTGGAGGGGCCGGATCCCAGCAGGGGGAATGGGAGTGGGGGACCCGGGGTGGACGCAGGCGGTGGCCCGGCGGAAGGGTGGGTGGTAGGTGCCGTGGCTCTCTTACCAGCTGGTCATTGCAGATGGCCAGGTCGGCCACCTTGCCCCAGTTGACGAGGACCACATCGAAGCAGCGCTCGGGCTCCCAGCCGTAGACGCGCAGGGAGTCCTGGCAGCCGCTGTACAGGCAGCAGCCATCAGGGTTGAAGAGGACGCTCCTGCGCCGGGCGAGAGTTGGCGTGGGTCTGGCGGCGCCCAGCCCAGCCTCCCCCCAGGAAGCCCGAGAGCCTAGGACAGGGAGGCCCCCAAACCGCCCACTCGGCCACCGCATACCTGACAGGCCCCGGCTCCCCTTCGATGCAGCTCACCACCTGGAATTTCTCCAGGTCCCAGAAACGGATCGTCCTACAAAGGCAGCCACGTTGTGCCAGGAAGCTAGTCCCCCTACCCTGGCCTCCACACGGGCCCGTGGTTTGGGATGTCAGCTTCTTTCCAGAAACCTCTCCCCGCAGGGCCAGGGCCCTAAGGAACGTCTGGGGCAGGGGCAGGCCCTGACTCAGCAGGGGGCAGGGGGAACACAGCGCCAGGCTGAGCTGGGTGGGCTGGCTGCACTGTGGGTCCCTGCTAGGTGCCCTGGGTCCCAATCTACCCATCAAGGCACAGAGCCAGGACACTGGCGCCAGGGAACCAGAGCTGGGGGAGACACGGGTCCAGGGTCCAGTCCTGGGTTGGCTGAAAGCCAGTTTGGTCCACATAGGATCATCTGTGTGACATATGACACCCCAGGGCAGAGACAGACCCGGAATGGAGACACACACAGAGGACAGGGATGGGGAGGGACGGCAGTCGTGGACAGGAACCCCGCCGCTCCTCCTCACCTGTCAGAGCTGCCAGAAGCCAGGAGGTACTCGTTGGGGTGAAATTCCACCACGTTCACAGGCCCCGTGTGACCAGGGAACTCGGACATCATCTTGCCGGCAGTGAGATCCCAGAGCTGAGGGCAGGTGGGGGTAGGGCAGGGCTAGGCTGGGCGCCTCGGCTGCTGGCGCTCCCTCTAATGCAGCCCAAGCTCAGTGTCCACAAACCACCACCCACTCTGGACAGGCTTGGGACATGTGAGTCTGAGCAGGAGGGAGGCGAGGACCCAGCCTGCGTGTGGTCAGCAGACCCGTCCCCAGCCCCTTAGCCGAGGTTGGGCGGAGCTACCTTCACCGTGTGGTCGTCTGCAGCCGATGCCAACCACTTCCCATCGGGGCTGAACCGGAGGCAGCGCACGGCCTGGCTGTGGCCCTGTGGAGGGAGGACAGCACTGCGCTCACCATAGGGCCCTGGGCCCACCAGGCCTCCCCAGCTGCTCACCCCATCATCCCTAATAGTGCCCTCCTGGGGAACGGGCACAGGGGACAGAAGCCTACATTCAGGAGATGTCATAGAAGGACACTGCTCCATGTGTGGCCATGGACTCCCAGGCCTGCAGGACACTCCAGGAAATCAGGACTATGTGGTCATGTCATTTGGGAAACAATGTATTTTATGTCCCCCTTTTGGAGAGTTAAATGCCCTCTTTTAATGTCAAAGGCTCTGAAAACCTCCAACTACCAAACTCACGTGAACAGGAACTCCCTTCACCTAATGACACCAGGCACCTGCCTGGTTTTGCTCAGAGCACAGTTTGATCAACGTGGCTCTGGGGACTCACAGAAAGCCAGAGGGTGCAGGTGGGCCACCCACAGCATGCCCACTCCGCTCCGGGTCCACACTTCACATTCTCACCCAACCTGGGCAGCAATCCCCGCCACCCCTGCCAGGGTCTGGGCACCGTGCCCTGTCCAGAGCGTGCAAGGGACCTGCAGGGTGACCGACGGAGGGTGCCGTCCTTACTCTGTAGCGGAAGACACAGCCTTTCCTCCTGATGTCCCAGAGCTGCAGGGAGAGACACAGAGGGGAAGAGTCAGGCGAGGTCACGACTGAGTCCTGGGGTCTGGGCCAGAGGGCAGCATGCAGCCATGGGCAGAGGGGGGCTCATTACACCCCACGGTGGCAGAGGGATGGAAACTGCTCACTAAAGCCGGGCATCCTGAGCAGAATGTCCGGCCACTGCCCGCACGTCTGCCTGCCCTGGGAGGGCGAGGACACGGCTGCAGAGGCAAGACGCCCCCGGACCGGGGAAGCCCACCCCGCAGGCAGGTCAGGCCTCAGCCGGCACCCAGCATATGGGGCCCGGCCAGTCCTGCTGCGGGCCCAGCGGGAGACACTAGGCGCAGGGTGGCGTCTCACCTTGATGTTCGTGTCCTGGGAACCAGAGGCCACAAACTCGCCATATGGGTGGAAATCCAGGCTGCAGATGTTGGCTTTGTGTCCCATGAGTGTGCGAAGAACTAACAAGAACGAAAGCAGAGACAGTGGCGTGAGAGCGAGACGGCTAGCAGACAAGGGGCTGTTCGCCATCTGTGTGCTTTAATATTAACCGCACGGAGAAATAGAACAACGTGGGTTTTAAAAATAGGTGGAAAATCAATCCCAATTGGCCACCCTAACAACTAATTTCCCTGTTTTTCTCTTGAGACATGACAGCCCTTTCTGCTGTTACTCAAGTCCCCAGAAAACACATCGCACACTCCCCAGACTGAGCCCGTGGGCTTGTCCCAGGGTGTTCACGTGCAAACGCCCTGAGGCTTGCAGAGCCAGGTCACCCGTGCTCAGTTCAGGCCCCGTGGACGTGGCGCTCAGTCTGCAGGGCACCCAATCCTACCCAAACAGGACAAGGAGACAGGCCAGGAACTTCTAGCTGCAAGAGCAGCTGGTTGGAAAGAGAATGCAGGAAGGCTTCATGGAGGCAGCGGCATCTGAGCAAGGTGTCAGTGGGCGAAGGATGAAGGACATTGTGTTAGGCAGACGGAAGTGGGCAAAGGCCCTAAGTAAGGACTGTAGGTGAGGGCACGTCTGGGGAGGCCCTGGTGCTCACACTGGTCCTCTGGGATCAGACCCCATCCAAGGGATCTTGAGGGTGGCCGTGAAGACAGGTTAAGGAGCCGTGAGAACTGGGAGAAGCCCCAGGACTCATCACCTACTGATCACCCGTCCTGTGAGGTGTGCAGGTCGCTCCCTGGCCAGGCCCGCCCAGCCTGCAGGCAAGCTTGGCGTTACTGCCTCCGAGTATGCTCTGGTACCACGCGTCTTGCTTTCTGAAAGATTTCTAATCCCACTGTCAGAATGAAACAGATCAGCCCGTGAGGGCTGAGGCCAAGGGATATGGAAGTCCGGCCATCCTCACATAGGAGCCAACGTGAGACAGGGTGCCTGGTGAGGTAGTGAGCTCTCTGTTGGAGGAGGTGTTCAAGACTCCGGATGTAACACTTTAGGGACAGGAAGAGTCAAGATCTCAGCACTGGGTACTGAACGCTACTGTATACTCTTCTCCACCCCCCATGGCAGCATGTGGGCTCTGGAGACAGTCCTAGGATCAGTCCTGGCTCTGCTCCTCACTTGCTGTGTGACCCTGGCCAGTCACTTACCCTCTCTGAGACTCACACTGGGTCTTGGTCAGAATTAAGTGAGCAAATGGACATAAAGAGCTTAGCATGGGCCCGGCACATGAAATACTCAATAAATGCTAGTTATGATGATTCCAATTCTAATGCTTCCTACAGAAGGCCTGCCTCCACCCCCGTCTGTCCCCCAAGCTAGACCTCCTCTCTTCCTCCTCAGACCAGAGCATGTGTCCCCATTCTCCCTTTTCTGGCTGCAGTGACAACCTGCCGCCCAGTACAATGGTCACCTGGACACCTCCCTTGTCCCCACAATGTCTGCTGAGCACTTCCAGTGTTCGACGGGCGGAGTGATTTCTGGGCATTAGCTCACCGATTCCCCCTGCTCTGCCCCCAACGCGCAGGTGGGCGAGGCCCGGGGCTGGCCAGCAGGGGCAGAGCCGGAACTTGGGCCGGGCATCTGCTTCTCAAGCAGCTTCCTTTGCCAGGTGCTGTCTGGGTCAAGGCAGCTGACCTGTGCTGCTCAGACAGCCCAGGCACAGGGCAGAGCAGGATAAGAGTGATCTGCTGTCGCTGTCACCTGCCTCGAGGACAGTGTCCATTCCTCATCCACCCGCCCACTGCATCCAGGCATCCTACTAGGTGCCCCTCCGCAGCAGGCCCTGCCAGGTGCTGGCACGGGGACCAAGCAACCTTCACGTCCCTCTCAAGGCTGTCGCATGAGCATCTAACTCAGCTGCACTAGAACCCGAGCAGCTGTCCCTCCTTGCCCCACGCGGCTGCCAGGTGCTGCCGGGGCGTGGCACTGCCTCGCTGACCAGGGCGGCCTGGTTAGTGCAGGGACAGAGGACGCGGCCTCGTGCTGGCTCCCGCTCCAGTCCAGGCACTGCCTCGCTGACCAGGGCGGCCTGGTTAGTGCAGGGACAGAGGACGCGGCCTCGTGCTGGCTCCCGCTCCAGTCCAGCCCACTCGCTTCGCATCCCATGGCGAGGCTTCCAAAATCCTGCCCCGCCCTGTGGCGTCCCAGCCCTGCGTGGGCCAGCTTCTTAAGAGCAGGCCGCCTTCCTGCAGGAGCCACGGGGCTGGCCGCCCCCGCCGCGGGAAGCAGCAGGACCGCATTCTTCTGCCGTGACTCCTGCCCTCGCTCTTCCGTCCCAGGAGGGCGCTTGGACGGGCTCCCCATGCCCGGACTCAGGCATGGCATCTGGGAACTGCATCGAGGAGGGGTGTCCTCGGTCTGTCTGCCACACACGGGAACCTGCAAACACTCCCAGCCAAGCAGCTGCTCGGCCTCCACCTCAGTCCTCCAGCGACGGGGAGGCCAGCCCTCCAAGGCATCCGATGGGACAGGAGGCTCCCTTTGTGCCTCTTCTGCACCTGGGGCCTCAGTCTGCCTGTGTCACTGTCACCCACGCTCTGGCAGCTGGGAGTGGAGGTGGGCCTGAGGTCTCAGCTCCACCTGCAGAGGGCAAGTTTCTCGCCCATCTGAGAATCGCCAAGTGAGAGGTAGCCAATGGCAGAGCACAGAGCACTGGGATGGGAGTCCTGACACAAGGAAGCAGGTCCCAGGTTCCGCCATGCACAGCTACAGGGTCTATACTAAACTTAGTGCCCTCCCTGGGCCCGTCTGCCTGTCTGTCAGATGAGGGGCCTATGGACCTGCTCTGCATCGGAATCACCTGGAAGCTTCCTGAAAACCAGACTCGGGGCCACCCACTACGATCAGGTGGGGTCTGCGGTATCTGTCAGGAGCTCCTCGCACAGTAGCCAGCCCTGGCCATCCAGGGCCAGAATCCAGAGGTCTTCAGTTTTTATTTCTTGGCCACCTGAATAAATTCCTCTGTGATCAGTGTGATCATTCCACTTGTGAGCAAAACAAAGGTGGCTGAGGAAGCCTGAGCAGGAGGCCCGGTTGTCCTAGCTTCTCGCTTCTGTCCCTTGTTCTCCGGTGAACAGCGAACGGCTGGTGGCTATCCACTGGGGCTCAGGTCCAGGGAGCTGACCACCTTCTGTCCAGGCCTTTTGCCTTCTCAGTTCGAGCCCAGCCAGCCTGGGCTCCCTCCTCCTCTGCCAGACAGAGCCCAGCAATGCCCAAGCAGAGCACTGGGGTGGCCAGGTGGTGGGACCATGTGCTAAGACACAAAGCATGCAGCCCTGCTTATCATCAAAGAGGTGCTGGTGCTCTTTTGTTCTGTTCTTCTGTTTTTTTTCTTTTTTTTGAGACAGGGTCTCACTCTATTGCCCAGCCCAGGCTAGAGAGCTGTAGTGACAGTTCACAGCAGGCTCAAACTTTTAGGCTCAAGCGATCCTCTTGCCTTAGCCCGCCAAGTAGCTGGGACTACAGGTGCATGCCACCACACCCAGCTAATTTTTTTTCCTTTCTGAGATGGGATCTCACTATGTTGTCCTGGTTGGTCTTGAACTCCTGGCCTCAAGTGATCCTCTGCCTTGGCAAGTGATCCTTCCAAAGTGCGGGGGTTACAGGTGTGAGCCACCACATCTGGCCTCTTTTGGTGTTAGACCATCACCAGCTATGCAAGTGCCAACGCAAGAGGCCGGGGCTCAACCTTTCTTGAGAAAGCCCCTCAGAAAGCCCACTGTCATCGAGCACAGCGAACCTTGCCACTGGGCATGCATGGCAGACGCCCACTGTCCTGCAGCCAATGCACAGAATGTACCAGGGGAGAGGCCCAGAAGAACCTTCAAGTCTCAGCCAGGCACGAGGGGCTCTCTTCTAGAAAAAGCAGCCTCGGCAGGATCCACGCTGCTGTCTCCTCTCCAGGGCTTCAGCTCTGGTTTGGGCTGCAAGGCCCAAACCAGAGCTGCCAAAACGCAGTAAGCAAACAGCTCTATTTGGACCTCACAGTGCTGGCCTGCTCGCTGTTCTGAAAAAAATGTTGAATTAGCCATCAACATTAAAAATGGGTGGATTCCACATTGATTTCCAGATTTCTAGATTCTCTTAAAAAAAAAAAACCTGTAGAGCTGGCAACACCTTCTGAGGCTGAGAGGCGGCAGGCGGGACTATCCACTCGGCCGGGAACTGAGGGCCTGAGTTTCCAGACTGAAAGAGCCCCGTGAGGACCTAGCACGGGGGTGAACACACCCCCACCAACGCCCGCCACTGTGAAACGCCGAGCACTGGGACAGAGACCCTACAAGCTTGCAGTCAGAGAGAGGTGGCGGGCGGTGAGACGCTGGTCCCTGTGAAGGACCTGGGGTCAGAACGGCTCTGCCCCAACTGGTTGCCACTGTCCCCGCAGCAAGCCTGGAACCTAAAAGGCAGTAGAGCTGCGCCTCCAAAATTCCACCAGCAAATTATTTCCAACCTCAGATTCTATACTCAAACTTATTTTTAAAAAAAAAAAGGATGAGGGTAGAATCAAGTCATTTTCTGCCATGGAAGGTCACTAAAATCATGCCTGCCACATACCCTTTCTCAGTAAGCTATGAAAGTATGTGCTCCAACAAAAAGGAGGAGAAAACCAAGAAAGCTGACGATATGAGCCCTGGAAGAGCAGATGGAAAGAGAGACGTCCCAGAGAGGAGACAGAGGCCCACGGTGACAGCTGGGCTACAGGCCCCAGTGCTCCAAGGCCACTGGGACCTGGAGGACGGCGGCTCTGAGGAGAGACACCTGGATTACGGGATGGGTTTACTCTTCTGGCAGAGAATCTGGGGATGAATTAGTGACAGGGACACTGAAAATATACAGATGAAGAAAAGAACAATTATTAACTCCAGGGAAACTATGCTTCCAGAAAAGAAGCATAATCGGTTGTGGAGGACAGTCACGTGGCCCTTGCCGTGTAAACACTGAATTTCAGCGGCGATCCTGGGAGGGGAGGAGAAGCGCCGTGAGTGGATGAGAAGGAAACTAAAATAAGACCAACCAACAGAAGATCCGCCCCAGGCCCACATCCCAGCGGCACCAGTGCGCCGGGGCTGACGGGGGGGGGGCGCGCTCCCCCGATTTTCGCAGCTCTCCCCACAGCCACCTCACTCGCTCATGCGTCCTGCAGGGTCCGCGGCAGCACCTGACGCCCACCCAGGCTCTGAATCCATACACACCCCCGCACCTCCACCCACACGGTTGTACATTTAGACATTCCTGGGCGCCCCTGTGCCAGCCGCTCTGGAGGCAGCCATGCGCTTTGCTGCCAGGCTCACAGGGACGGGGAGGGCCCAGAAACGGGGAAGGGGAAGAGGAAGGGGGCTCCGAGGCCTACTTTTGGCAGCTTCCAGGTCCCAGACGCGGATGGAGCCCGACTGGGAGCCGGCCACGATGAGCTCCTCGGGGGTATTGAGGCGGACACTCTCCACTGGGGACGTGTGGCCCGTCAGGCTCTGTGGAGAGAGGGCGACAGCTTCAACGCACCGCGTGGACAGACGCCCCCCACGCCAGGGCGACGCCCCGGATTCTGGGCCCCGGGGAAGGCTTCTGCGAGAAGTGGCCAACGCCTCAGCTCCCCGGGCGAAAGCGCCAAAGCCCAGTCATTCCCCAGCCACCTCCCACCGCGCTCTGACATGGGTGTCACTGCAGAAATGGCCCTGGGCCCCTCGGAGGAGAGCAACTGGCCGAGATAAGGAGATGCGGTCCCTGCAGCCCCACGTGCAAACCAGCCCACCCACGCTCTGCTCCCGCCTGCACTCCGCCCGGCACGAGGCCCTCGGCAATGGACACCACGGCAGAGTGGCGGCCGGCTCGCCGCAGGCTCACGCTAGGCCACGCACCCAGGCAGGGGCCCGTGGAACCCAGAGGACGTGGGAGTGACTCTCCTGGAGGACCCAACTCAGAGCAGGCCCCAGGCTCAGCCACTCTGTCGGGGGACGTGCCAGCTTCTCCAGCTTTCTGGAGAGGAGGCTAGAACCTGAGGTCCATGGTCTCTGGCCACTCGAAGGCACAGTGGCACCTCTATCAGTGTTTGCTAAGACGACAGTCCCCACAGGGGTCAGAGAGTTCCAAGCGCTTGTCTGACTCCCAAACGTCCCTGGGAGGAGTACAAACAGGCACAAACCCCAGGGAGGACCACTGGGCACAACTGCCCACGTGAGGAATGCCCACTCCCTTCAAAGCAGCCGTTCTGCCTCTGGTCTTGCCCTCTACACTCAAACACAGACTCAAGCTTATTCACTGCGGTGGCCCAACAAGAAATCGGGCACGATATAAATGCCCATGATAGGAAACTGGTTAGCTAAGCTGTTGGTTCGCCCACACTCGCCCATGCAGTGGACTGTTGCTCAGCCCAGAAACAAGTGAGGAACCAACCCTTCAAATGTGATCCAGGCTAATCCATGACACTTTTAGGTATAAAAAGATGGAGGACGGTGTCCACAACATGATAGCGCCTGTGTGAAAGGCAGGCGGAAACGTACATACCTGCTTGCACATGTATAAAATAACTCTGGAGGGACACAGAATTGAGAACTGCACAGCCAGGCGCGGTGGCTCACGCCTGTAATCCTAGCACTCTGGGAGGCCGAGGCGGGTGGATCACTCAAGGTCAGGAGTTCGAAACCAGCCTGAGCAAGAGTGAGACCCCGTCTCTACTAAAAATAGAAAGAAATTAATTGGCCAAATAAAAATATATAGAAAAAATTAGCCGGGCATGGTGGCACACGCCTGTAGTCCCAGCTACTCAGGAGGCTGAGGCAGGAGGATCGCTTGAGCCCAAGAGTCTGAGGTTGCTGTGAGCTAGGCTGACGCCATGGCACTCTAGCCTGGGCAACAGAGTGAGACTCTGTGTCAAAAAAAAAGAGAACTGCAGCTGCCTCCAAGGAGGGCTGTGGGGGTCAGGGGCAGGAGGAAGACTTCTCACTGCCCCATTTCTGGTCAGTCATGGTTGATTCTTTTTCAACTGTGTATGTTATTCCTTTGGCATTAGAGGGGGAAGAAAACAAATGTGAACCCTAAACACAAAGTAAAACAAAACAAAGCTGGGCGTGGTGGCTCACGCCTGTAATCCTAGCACTCTGGGAGGCCAAGAAGGGAGGATCACTTGAGGCCAGGAGTTTGAGACCAGCCAGAGCAACAGCGAGATCCCATCTCTACAAAAAATTTTTTAAAAATCAGCTGGGCGTGGTAGCACATGCCTAAAGTCCCAGCTACTCGGGAGGCTGAGGCAAGAGGATCCCTTGAGCCCAGGAGTTTGAGGTCACAGTGAGCTACAATGATGCCACTGTACTCTAGCCGGAACAACAGAGCAAGACACTGTCTCCAAAACAAACAAACAAACAAAGCATCTTAATCCATTCTTACTGAACCCTGGTACCCTGGCTGCGGTTTGGGTAGATGGATCTAGCAAAAACAATGAAGTGATTAAGTTTCTACTAATGAATATCACCTCCCACCATTATTATTATTTTTTTTTACCTTTATTTTGCCAACAGTCAAAAGAATGATACTGCATTTGTTGGCATGCATGCAGGGAGAAAAAAGGTTAGGTTCCTATGCTGTTGGTAAAAATGTAAATTGATTTCTGGAGGGCAATTTGGCAATATGTTTTGAAAGCTTTTAAAAAAAGTGCACGCCCTTGAATTTAATGCAACCATCACAGATCTGCTCAAAGATTTAGGGAGATGAGGATGTTCACCACTGGATGGTTCGTCATAGCCAAAAAACTGGAATCAATCTCCACGCTGACAACAGGGCGTGGCTAAGTTAATTACAGCTCATCGCTACAACAGAATACCAGGAAGCCATTAAAAATTATGTCGTAAAGGAACATTTGTTGACACAGGAAAACTCTTACAACATTGTTATTTTAAAAAACCAAGCTACACAGGAATCTGATAGTGTTTTGGAAATATATATATATATTTTTTAGACAGGGTCTGGCTGTTGCTCAGGCTAGAGTGGAGTGGCCCAATCAAAGCTCACAGCAACCTCAAACTCCTGGGCTCAAGCGATCCTCTTCTTGCCTCAGCCTCCTGAGTAGCTGAGACCACAGGCACATGCCACCATGTGGAAATATATCTTTATATATTGCGCGTGCATTTGTGTTTTTGCACGTGTGTATGTGCGTGTACATGTATATATGCATCTTTCTCAGCACCTAGAAGGACACAGACCAAAATACCAACTGTAGTGGTTTTTGGATAATAGAACTGTATGTATTAATAATTTTAATTTTTCTCCTTTATGCTTGCCTGTTTGATAAACAGTTTCCAACATCGAACACAGTTGTGTAACCAGAGGGAAAATGCTAGTAAAGAACTAGCTCCCTAAGCAGCTCCAACCAGGTCCCCCCAAATCCTTGCTGTGGAATAAGGTTGGGAAGGAATCAAAATAAACTTGCACACGCAGCCGCCAGGCGGGCAGATGGGCAGGTGGGCAGGGAGGACTGCAGGCCTTTCAGCTCTGTCACAGGCCTAGGGGTTTATTTTAGCTTTCTCCTGCAGACTGTCTGGATTTCTGTCCCACGGGCAGGTGCCTCCCTCATTCCTGAGGGCTGGCTGCTGTCCCAGCCACCCTGGGGTGTCCTGGGCTTCCTCGAGCAGACAGCTGGGGGGGGCACTGATGGTGTGCTGTGTCTCCCTCACTCTTCCCTCCACCCCCGAGCTGGGCCCCCAGAGGATGGGGTGCCCTGAGCTCAGTGGAATCCACAAAGGCGCCTGCTCCCCAGCCCCCAGCCGTCCCATCCCCCGCTGCTCACCATGATGCAGTTGGGCTTGTTGATGGACCACAGGTTGACACGGCAGTCATCCCCGCCTGTGGCCAGCAGCCGCCCGGAGGCTTTGCCCAGCACCAGCGAGGACACATTGCTGGCGTGCGCGACGATCTCCTCTACACGGGAAAGGAGAGGGAGAGGCAGTCAGGGGGCTGGATGGGGCCACAGAGGTGGGGTGGCCCTGCTCGGCCACTAGCTCTGGGACTTGAAGCCCAGCTCTGTCTCCTTCAGTCCCCCGAGGTGCCGCAGGAGCTGTAGGACCAGCAGGCAGGGAAGCGCATGGGCCCGAGATAGAAGCAACCCTCCCTCCACTTCAGTCCTTCCCGTCCTACCGTTGGGCCTCGTGATGTTTTCCCTTTTTCCAAATATCACCTGATCACATTGACCAGCTATACTCAATTTTTAAAATTAACTTGCTATTTTTAGTTAGTTTTGTCTTAAGCAATAATATCCATAAATTACAAGTTTGATACACTCATGATACTTTTTAAATGCTACAAAAACAAAAACAATTATTAAAATAAAAATGACGGACCCAAGCACCGCCTAAGCTCCCATCAGCTGCTGCTCTACACACAAACGCTTAGCGGAACACACTTTAAGAAAAATCCTAGCACTCTGGGAGGCCGAGGCAGGAGGATCGCTTGAGGTCAGGAGTTCGAGACCAGCCTGAGCAAGAGCGAGACCTTGTCTCTACTAACAATAGAAAGAAATTAGCCAGGCAACTAAAAATAAAAACAAAAAATTAGCCGGGCATGGTGGCGCACGCCTGTAGTCCCAGCTACTCAGGAGGCTGAGGCAGGAGGATCGCTGGAGCCCAGGAGTTTGAGGTTGCTGTGAGCTAGGCTGACGCCACAGCACTCTAGCCCGGGCGACAGAGTGAGACTATGTCTCAAAAAAAAGAAAAAAGAACGGAAGTCGACTCTAGACCAGCTGTCCCCACATGAGCTCACACAGGCTTCGCTCACAGATTCAGAATTACCAATCAGGTGCCGGTCTGAGCTCTGCTATCTGCTACTGTGTGGCCTTAAATAAGTCACTCACCCTCTCTGAGGGCCAGGTTCCTGTCTGGTAAATGGGAATGATAGTGCCTGCCTCCCACCTAATGCCGAGGACTCAGAGAATACACTGTGAGCTGCTCAGAAGCGGGCGAGCGCCCCGCGGCTGTCGGGCAGGATCAGGACTAGTCGCCATGAGAGAGGAGGCCAGGGGACCCCGGCAGGCAGGCACAGGAGGCAGCAGACCCAGCAGACTGGGCGGGGGTGAGGGCTGACCAGGAAGAGCAGGGGGCCACGTGGGCAGCAGACACGCGGCTCAGAGGGCCTCGTCAGTGCTCTGACGGGAACGGGGCACAGGCAAGAAAGCAAGAGGTGGCCCAGGCCTCCGAGCCAGTCCCCAAGCGAGCTCTCCTGGAAGAGAGGAGAAAAGCCAGACCTTCCCGCACAGGCTAGGGGAAAACCCCAACGTGCCGATGCCTGGAGGCAGCTGGGTGGCTGGCGTGGGTGACGCCGAGGAGAAGGTGTTGCATCTGTCCCTTCTGTGCCCCAGCCCAGGACTCCACCCTGCCCAGTCTCTCTGGTGTGGGCTGCAGACCACAAGGAGGTTGGGAAACCGGGCCCAGGAAAGCTACTTGCTGGGCAGCCTGGCTCACAGGGGCTACCACAAATGCCCAGGGAACCAAGCTCACGAATGACACGCCACTGCATGGCCTGGCCAGCGCAGAGCCAGCACAGCAGCACCCAGCCACAGCAGGGGCGAGAGTTCCCTGCAGCCCAAACATGAGCCACTGGGGACCCTGCCATCTGGATCCAAGGGAGCTGGGCCCCTCTCTAGTCTTCATGTCAACCATGGAGCCTTCTTTCTAGACACTGTGGGGACAGATATTTGTCTACTCAACAGCTTCTGCCCCACCTGGAAAGAGGGTAGCCCACCTACTCCCACGGCATTCTGTTCCTGCACCTCGAGCCCTCTGCCCTTCCCTGCAGACACCCCTGCGTGCGCTGCCCTGTGCCCACGCCTGCCTGGAGGCCTGTCTGTCTACCCTGGCTCTCGGCCCTCCCAGGGAAAGTTCTGGCTGGGCCCCACCTCACTGGGCCTCGGGACTGCTGCCCCCGAAGGCAGCCAGAAATTCATAACGTAAGTATGTCCTGGGTGCCTGCTCGGGGCCTAGCACTGGGGAGGCTGTGGAGAGCGAGGGATGGAGAGAGAGGGGGACAGAAGGTTCCTGTCTTTATGCCTCAGTGTGATCAGATGGTTTCCGGGACGGGGCACTGAGCTGGCAGGGCAACAGACTTTGGGGGCAGAAGGATTTGGAAGCTGGGCCCTGCTGAAAGGGCCTGCAGCAGTCCCTCCAAGCAGCCCCCCAGGGACTGACTCCATGTAGGGACAGGGTGGGTGGGGGTTTGGGGACACAGCACAGGCACCAGCAAAGGAGGCACAGGGCACTGGCCCCAGGCACTCCCCCTCTATCCGGGCGCCTCACAGGACAGCAAAGGCCAGTGGCCTAGGCTGGGGTACCTGATTTTAATGCAAACAAAGCCCCTCAGTGTCCACTGGGCCGGATGACAGCCGCTGCTCTGCCCTAGGGCACAAGCCCACACCAGTGTCCCGAGCTCTGTAGTACAATCTGGGCCCCACGCCCCACACAAAGCTGGGGGACACTTTGCACTCTGGCCAAAGGTGCTGCGGACCTGCATCCCCAACAGAAGATGCAAAGAACCAGGCTTCAATGACACAAGTTGGCCAAGCACCTCTGACCCTCACCAGACCCTAGAGCCACAAGGAGCCAGAGGTCATGCGGCCATGGGCTCTTTAGATAGTTTATTTCCACGGAAACCACGTGCACATGAAATCATCAGCAGATGCCCCATGTGCCTGATCACATTACTTCCTGCTTAGAGGGCTTGGCCTTGCCATAGCCTCAGGAGGGCTGGGGGCCCGTAGACATGTGCCCCTGCAGAACTCACTAGCTTCATGTGGCACCATGTTCCTCCTGCAGCTGTCTCACAGCCCATGGCCTCCTCTGAGTCCTTCCAATACACTGAGCTTCCTGCCTCAGGGCCTTTGCACGTGCTGTTCACGCAGCCTACAGCATTCCTTACCCCCCACCACCACCTCCATCTCCCACTTAATTGATTCAAAGCACAGGCACCAGCATGGAATTACAGAATGAGAGACAGATGGGCATGGTGATCTAATTCTCACCTGTTGATCTCCCCAGGCTGTGCCCCCACTGTACAGAAACCTTGTCTGTTTTGTCCCCCACTGGCTCCCCAGTGCCTAGCTCTATGCTCATCTCTGATGAAGGGATGGATACATAATCCCAAATGCAAAGCCACTCTGTCCAAAGTGTACGCTCCTTAGGAAGCCATTACAGGTTCTCCCAGAAACCTAGGGCTTTGGGAACGATGTGAAAATAATGGCCCAGACCTCTCAATTTACAAATAAGGAAACAGAGGCCCAACAAAGGGCTTTGCTCAGGGTCTCCTAGTTAAAAATTAGCGGATCTTGCCTCAGCTGCTGAACACGGCCCAGGGACTGCTCACAGCAGAGGGTGACCAGGTGGAGCACACCAAAGCTATGCCAACCATTATTACAGGTGGCATAGGGCCCACAGAGGTGCCAATGTGTAAAGGAGTTCTCAATGATCTGGGGACCCTTGGGATCCTTAATCCTTTCAGGGGGTCTGAGAGAGCAAAACTATTTTCACACCACTGCTAAGATGGTATTTGCTTTTTGCACTTGTGTGCTCACAAGCATACAGTGGAGTTTTCCAGAACATCGCTAGGGTTATAGTTGACTATATATTCTTGTTTTAAAATGCCTACTGCTAATTTCTAACATGGAAAATATTGAAGCTATAACTCCCATAAACTTTGGGGTCCTCAATAATTTTTAAGAGTACAAAGAAGTCTTAAGATGGAAGAGTTTAGAACCGCTAGTATAGAGCAATGGCGGGATGGGGTGCTCACATTCAGCGACATTCCAGAGCCCTGTTAGCATTCTGCTGCCCACCCCTCTGCTCCTTTCACCTCCACCCTCAACTCCGAGATGCTTTTATCTGACTGGGGAAGTCTGACTTGCAAGTTGTATGAAAATGCTGAGGACAACTTTCAGGATTTCTCACCCCATTCTGCCTGGCAGCCTAACTGGAAATCTTGTGTTAAGTGCTTTATCATGGTCATTCTCTCACGTGATCTTATAGAACCAACACAGGTGTGAACCAAGGTGTGATTATCTCATTGTACAGATGAGAAAACTAAGCCTCAGAGAGGGTAAGTCACCCACCCAATGTTACCCACCTAAGCAGTGCCAGTCATGATTTACACCTTGGTCTATTTTACTCTAAGGCCTGCGAATCTCCCCCAGTGCCAAGAACAGGAAACAAAGCTGAGAGTTCACGTTCCCCTGCAATGAGCAGCTGACAAAATAAATGAGGTGAAGAAAAACGAAAACCACTCACGCAACTTCCAGGCCGTCTTGGTGACCACAGGAGTGGCCATCCTTCAGCTGGCTGGCACCTGAAGCCCCACCCACAAAATGGACTGTCCTTTCCTTCTGGGGTGGGGGTGGATCCCCCCCAGATCCACCAATCAAGTTGGCAGAGAGTTTCCAAACATCCAGGCAGAGGGAATTCTTGTCGCCTGGCCCCGGACCGCCTCGTGGTTTTAAATCACCCACAACAACACCAGCAGCCTGTACACATCTGTCAGGACCCAGGATCACGGAATGTCAGGCTTGAGCCATCTCAGCTCAACACCAGGCTGGAATACAAACAGAGGCGATGGCTTGTTAGGGTAAGAGCTGCAGGTCCCTGGATCACTAAGGCCACTTGATAAAGACTAACACCCACCAAAGCAACCACAGCCAGAAGCTGCATCACAAATTGGCTCTGAGAATCTGCAGAGGAAGCACCTCAGGCAGGGTGACTTGAACACCGGGAAGAAGGTCCTCCCAGACGCTGGGATAATGGGAGCCGGCTGCTCCAGGATGCTGACTGCCTAAAGTGCAGCAGCTGCAGTGGGGCGGGGAAGACCACGTGTTCCCAATTCACATAGATTTCTGGGAGTCACTGTTTTTGCCTGACTGTACAGGATGGGGGGTGGAGTCAGAGCCAAACTTGGGGGCCCACGAGAGGCAATCCAGAGACAGCCATTGAAGTCCTCTCTGGGGAGAATCTCAAAGAGGACCGGAGGGGTCCTCAGATCCTGGCAAGGGAACCACTGCTGCCCACTGCAATTCCCTAGCACAGAGCTGGGAACTAGGCCTCCAGTCTGGGTATGAGTATGACTCCTCAACTCTGAAAGGCCACTTCATGCAGCCTCCCACCGCCTTCCCACAGCCACTTCACCTCTTTCCCATGAACCCTCTCTCCTCCCGTCCCCGTTCTCCTGGGTCCCCTAGTTCTGCCTCTCTAATCCCCCGTTCACACACCCCCTTTCCCAGCCACCCTGAGTCTCCCAGTCAGGCATATCCTGTCTCCTGAGCTCCCTAACTTGGCCCCTGCGTCGCCGCACTCCCTTCACTCCCCTTTCCCATCAGCTATCGGTGTCCCCCATTCATTCACTCTCCCGCGTCTCCCTACTCATTACGCGGACCCCCAGCTCTGCTTCCGGCCTCCCTGGTTTTCCCCCTTCCGCCTCCACGCCGGCCCCGCTCGTCCGGGGGCTGGGCTGGTCCCTCGGCCTCGGCTGATCCTCCCACCCCTCTCGGCTTGCGGGGCACGAGCTCTAGCCTCCCCTCGCTGAGAACCCTCTCTCCCCGAAGCCCGGCCGGCCCCGCCTGGCTCGGCCCGGCCCAGGGCCCACAGTCCCCTCGCCTCCTCGTCCCCTTGCCCACTCCACCTGCAGCTGCGGCTCGGAAGGCCGAGGCTCTGCTCCAGGCGCGACCCCTACTTGCCTCCATCCCCTGTCCTGATTGGCCGCTGCTTGACAACCGACCCTCACAACAAACCCTCCGGTCCAGAGCCCCGCCCACCTTACCTCCCGCACCAATCCGCCGCCGCAGGCGCTCCGCCTCCCGTCAGGATTGACCAATGGAAGCAGGCGCTTCTGCCGCTTTTCCTAAGTACCCGCCCTCTTTTCCCGAATCGGACTACTCACGAGGAAGGAGCGTCCAAGAGCCTCCCCTCGGCCTCTAATGAGCCAATACGGGCTGCCATTTCCTTGCTCCCGCCTCTGTCTCAAGCTTTCCCTCTACTCCCCCTTTCCGTCTCTTCCTTGAACCTCGTTCGCGTTTGAAAAATTTGCGAGACGCCCTCCAATGGCGGCTGCACCAATGGCTTTAGCAACCGTCCTGGGTTGACCAATCAGCGTCCGCATTATTGGAAACCCAATTCCCAGATAGCCAATGGGAAGGGGACCGCGGGAGCAATGTGAAGTCGTGAGCCTTCCATCTTGGAGTAGGGAGAAGCGGACTGATGTCTTAGTCAGCATTTTGCAGTTGTTTTTCTTCCGTTTGCCCGAAGAGCGGCGCCGTGGCCCGAGGGCTTTGCTTGCCCCTCCTCGCTGACCCAGACGCCGGGCTGAATCCTCCACCTCGGGAAGCCTAGAGGGAAACAACCTGTTTCCGAGTCAGGCGTGCTGCCCCGCCGCCCCGGCCTGGGAGAATGGATGAATGGGCAAGTGGCCTCTCCCTTAAGGGGAGCACAGTCTAGGAAGTCAAGAGAGGCCGACTTTGTGACACCTTGGGCGGGGTGGGCTCCGGCCCGGGGCCGCTTAGGAGGAACTCGGCCCCACGGAAGCCTCTCCCTGGGCCAGGCCCTGTCGGCCGAGAAGTGGTCCAAGCATCTAAAGACCCTCGAACTTTCCCGTTTATCTTTCAGTCTCTCAGTGCGGGTCGAGCCTGCTTGGACTGACACAGCACTCACCACAATCCTAAGGGGTAGGAATACTTGCTCCCGTTTACAGATGAGGAAACTGAGGCCCCGGTTAAGGTGCTGACAGAAGACCACACAGCCAAAGAGTAATGGCCCCAGGATTCGAACCCTTGTTCCTAAAGCCAAAGCCTGGGGATTCCCCACTGTAAGCACCCCTTCTGCCTGCGACAAGAGGCAGAAGGTCCACCCGTGCTGTGACGTGATACTTTTGGGGAAGGTCCCAGGCATTGTAACACTCTTAAAAGATTAAAGCAACAGAATAACACTGGATTTAAACTGTCCAGCCTGCATTTCCCCTCACCTTGTATTATGCTAGTATAATGATACAACCTAGATTTTGATACTTGCTAACAGGTTTGCCATATTTGCTTTGTGTATTTTTTTTTTCAGAACTATTTGAAAATCGTAGATATGACGTTTCACCCCTGACACTAAATACTGAGCAGGTAGCTCTTAAAAATAAGGCCCTTATTCTGCATAATCATTGTCACCAGCCCTAAGAAAACTTAATAATTCTCTTAACACCCAGTCCATATTCACATGTGCCCAATCATCCCAGCAATATCTATAATAACTTTTTTTTTCTAAGTAGGAACCAAGATTCAGCACACTTGGCTCTTTTAATGTCATTCTATTTCTGTCCCCCAACTTTTATTTATTTTTATGACATTGATCTTTTGAAGAGATCAGACCATTTACCTTATAGATGTCCCTCATTATGAATTCATTTTCTTTTAGTGTCATTTACCTTGTTCCTCTGCCCCTGAGTTTCTTGTTAGATGGCAGTTAGGTCTAAAGGCTTGATTAGATTCATGACAAGCATTTAAAAACACTGCAAAGGACACATACTGTAAGTGTACAGGTTGTTGAATTTTTACAAACTGAACATATCCAGGTCAAAAAGCAGAACATTACCAGCAACTATAAGCCTCCAGCACTCACTTCCATTCACTAACCCTCCGTCCTGACTTATAATACCATTAATCAATTTTGCCTGTTTCTGTTCTTTATATAAATGGAATCTTACCGTATCCTTTTGGTATCTGGAATCTTTTGACATCATCATACTAAAGAAATTCAACTATGTCATTCCATGTAGTTGAAGTTCATTCATTTTCATTTTTCTGTTAACAACCTCAGTATTATTGACATTTTGGGCTAGATAATTCTTTGTTGTGGGGGGCTGCCCTGTACGTTATGGGATGTTTAGCAGCATCCCTGGCTTCTACATACTAGATGCCGGAAGCATTCTCCCTAACCAGTTTTGACAACCAAAATACCTCAAGACCACAATTTATGCATCCATTCTACTCTCTATGGGCACTTGGGTGGTTTCCAGTTTGGTGTTATCATCAGTAGTGCTGCTATGAACATTCTAGTGCACGCCTTTTGGTGGATAGCTGTCTGTGTATCTCCATTTCTGTTGAGTTGTTCATTCTCTGATGGGTGGGTGTATGGAGTGGAACCTAGGAGTGGAAGTGTTAGGCCATAGTTTAGCTTTAGTAGATGCCACCAGCCTCTCTCTGTCTTATTTAATACGACAATGCCATCCCCATTTCACAGATGGGTAAGTGGTATCTGGTAAGAAGAAGAGCTGGGATTCTGCCCCTTGCACTCTAATGTCAAGCCCTCAAGTTCTGGGTCATGCACCTTTGCCTTGCCCCTCCCACTTCGTGAGCTGAGCCACCCTCACCACGCTGAGATCTTGTTTGCAGGTGGCTACGGGACCATACGCAGAGGCACGATGAAGACTCCACCTTCCAATGGACAGAGGACAGGAAGCAAATGAGGAAGGTGGGCAAGGTGGGGAGGAAAGGGGTGGTCCCAGGCGGGAGATAAAGAAGGGAAGGAGACAAAGGCTGGTGCTGGAGCTTGTGAATCAGAGGCACAAATGGCAAATTCTGAGTGTGTTTATTTACAGGAAAATCAGAGAAGCAGGAACGGGGAGGGCCACAGGAGAAGTGGGTGGCAGTGAGGCCAGGCGTCTGAGTAGATGGCATTAGCTGGGTGGAGGGAGCACAGGGACCCAGCTGTGGGGGACATTTGCTTTCTGTGGTGGCTCTGCCGAGGTCCCAGGAGTGTCAAGTAAAGACTTTCAGGAGCTCCACCAGGCGTGGGTCCTTGTAGAGCTTTTCCTCCAAGGCCAAGTACTTCAGCGGGGCCAGCTCCTTGTGTCTGAAGTCAGAGGCAGGAATAAGAGGGGGTCAGGGCGTCACACAGCCAGTGGTCCGGCCTCCCAGTGCGTCTCCCCAACCCCCAGCCCCTTACCGGTTGAGCCGCTGCTCTAGGATGCGAATGCGGAACATGGCCTGGGAGCAGTAGCTCAGGTACTGGTCTTCGTCCTCGGACGTCAGCGTCACCTGGTTCTCCTGGTACCACTGCTGCTTCTTCTGCAGCTCCTGGGTCTCCTGCAGGCACGGGGAAGACAGAGCAGGACGGTCGGCAAGGCCTGCCCCTCACCCAGGCTGCAGCCCCATGACGGTTGGCCCTCCCTGCCCCCACCCACACACGCTGGAGGAGCAGAGTCAGGGGCCACCAAATGTCTTGGGTGTGACGTGTTTACAAGGATATCATGTCCGTGAGGTCAAACAGGGATCAAGAAAGACAGCCATGTGGCTCTGGAGAAGAGCCATCAATTTCTTGTCTGCAAAATGAGGGTCACTGCGCTGCCCCTACGTGTTGTAGAGCTCTTTGCGAGGATCGAATCAGATAATGCGTGGGAACGACATGATGGGTGCCTGACCAACAGAAATGGGTCAGGGACCGAGAGTCGTTATGACGCACCATACGTCCATCCAGCCATCTACCCACCCGCTCACCCACCCATCCATCCTCTGCCCATCTGCCCTCTGCCTACCCTACCACCTACCCCTCCGCCTGCCACCCATCCGTCCGCCCAGCCACCCGTGCATCCATCCGTCCCACAGCAAGAGAGAAGAACAACTCAGTCGTCGGGAAGCCCCAAGCACTGACGTGCTCATGCCCTGACCAGTCCCTCACACGTGCACAGGCAGCCCCGGGCCCGCTTTCCAGATGGGGATGCCGAGGTCCCCTCCCCTGCCAGGGCCCTGGCAGCACCTTCTCGAAGCGGGCCTGGATGAGGTTGGCCTTGTCGATGAGCCGCTGCTTGAAGTCACTGAGGCACTCGTCCTTGAGGCGCACGGCCTGCCAGCGCGTCAGCTTCTCTCCCGGCGGCAGCTGCGCCAGGAACGGGGCCAGGTAGTCCAGCTGGGTCTCCACCTGCCGCAAGTGCTCCTCGTGCATCACGCGCTCCTGCGGAGGTGGCCGCGGTCAGCTGGGTGGGCCGAGACCCCCACCTGCCACCGCACGGGGCCAGCACGAAACCGGCGCCTGAGACAGGCCTCAGCAGGGCCTGCTGCTCTCTCGTCCCCTGTTTATTGGTGACAGCCAGCTTTTATTCCTTACACACATTCATGTCTCTCTACTTGAGCCTCAGTTTCCTTCTCAGACGCGATCACGTCTGTAAAGCACACGGCCTGCCTGACAGTCCATAGCAGGTGCTTATGGAATAGATGGAAGTGGTTATCAATGGTGTGAGTTAAAAAGTTCTTCTCTTTCACCCTGGGGCCTGGTGTCCTGCATCAGCAGACAGGGGCCAGAGAAGGTGGAGATGTGGGGGCCAGCACCTCCCCTGGGAATCTGAGAAGAGTCACCCGATGCCCTGTCCTGCCTCACCTACCCCACACTGCTTGGTGAAGGGGGTTGAGAAGCCGGCCTTGAAACCAAGCTGGGCTTTGCAGCCCGGGGGCGTAACCCGACAGCCCTGGGCTGCAGGGCTCGGAGAGCTCGGGCCATGGCCAGGGTTGGCTCGCTGGGGCTCCTGGCCCAGGCCACAGCCTCAGTGGGAGCCCTGGGTGGAGGCAGGCACGCAGTTTGAATTTTTTCCCCATACACTACACTACGGGCCTTGGCTTGGCCACAGCCCCTG